GCGGTACTGAAAAGACTGTTCTCGTGGGAAAGATTTGAGACCAGTGATTACGTGTCTAAATACAATGCTCTCCTAATTTTAAGTCAAATACTGTATAGAGTATGCATTTAAACGGTCCGTTTTAATGAGATTTTGAGGACGTCGGTTTAACCGAAAAAACCGTTATCCGGACTGGCTTGTCCCGAGGAGCCCGGATAAGAGGGAGTCTACTGTATGTGGAAATACTGAGGGGGTTTTTGGCTTCACAACCGCGAATGTTAGGAGGGATAGACATTACCAACATGAACACATGGTTTCAACAAGGACGGCGCAACTTGTCATACAGCCAATTATTCAATGACAGTTTTGCGTGAACTGTTTCCCGGTAAAGTGATCTCTTGGTTTAGTGATGTGCCGTGGTCAGCTCGATCCCCAGACTTAATTTTGTGTGACTGTTGGCTGTGGGGATACTTAAAAGACAAAGTGTTTGTTTTGGAATTTCGAACCATCCTTGAACTCAAGAAGTGTATCCGGGAAGAGATTGTTTCTATTCTTCAGGCGAACGTGACTGCAAAAATAAGCAAAGAAATGGGAAGCCTGTGTTTAGGAGAAGGTTATCACCTAAGTGATACAAATTTTATAGATGAAAATGGTATAGTAGTTTTATAACCATAGGTTCCGATATGGCCGGGTTGAGGGGCCATGTATCTGTACAGTTAATGGGCCCGTAGCTTGGTTTTCTTCGAGGTACAAATTATTTTAATGGGGGTACAAAATAGTACGAAATAGGTACTAAATAGTAGTATAGCTTATAACCATAGGTTACGATATGGCCGGGCTGAGGGGTCGTTGAACTGTACAGTTCACGGGCCCGTAGCTTGGTTTTCTTTGAAGTACAAATTATATTAATGGAAGTACAAAATAGTACAAAATAAGTACTAAATAGTAGTATAGCTTATAACCATAGGTTCCGATATGGCCGGGCTGAGGGGTCATTGACCTGTACAGGTAACGGGCCCGTAGCTTGGTTTTCTTTGAGGTACAAATTATATTAATGGAGGTACAAAATAGTACGAAATAGGTACTAAATGATGGTATACATATTAGGATCAAATTCGAAAATGGCCGGGCCAGCATGTCACTGGCCCGGAATCCTAAATTAATTAGTTATCCGGTACCGAGTGGGGTACTAATTTTTTGTATGTTGGTACTAAATAGTACGAAATAGGTACTAAATATTAGCATAATTCTTATGTACTAATTCCGTCATGGCCGGGCCAGTGACATGGACGTGAAAGGAAAGGTTAGTAGAGTGGTCGTCCACGTGCGGGTGCGATTGAGCGGGGTCCGGAGAGCGGAAGCGGAACCGGCTACCACAACTTACCAACCACTGCTAATTTAATTGCTAAGTAAGCTAAACCACTTGCACATTTTTCTTCTCTTCTTCTGATGTTTTAAGCCATGCTAAGGCATTCGTTTTTCTGCCTTATTTTGCCTTATGAAGTTTTTTTATGAAGTTACTTTGGATGGATGACTATATAATATTATACTAGCAGCAATACAGCTATAACCCGGGTTATACCCAGAGACAATGTTGGATTTAGGAAGTCCCAAGGAAACCCTCTTAATACAATATCCTTGAGTGATCCTAGGGAGACTCTCAAATCGTGGGATCTCTGTGGGATATGTGGGAGTGGAACTGGTCAGGGGCCCTATTTTTGAAATGGTTGACAGTTGAGTCAACCATAAACACTCAAACTCAACCAACAACAGGATTTGGTATTTTTGAAATCCTAGTCTATTTTAAATTATTGCAAACATACCAACAAGGATAAAAAAAAACCCTTGATTGAATAGTCTAGTTTTGACACAGTAAATAAAATAAAAATGCAATTAATTCTACAGAAAACATTTGCATAAATTAGTATTTGAAATCTTTGTTAATGTCATCAAATTTTATCATAACAATTTATATTTGCTTTATATTATATTGGCGTCGACTTAAAAAAAGAGCAATTTTTGCCGAAAGAGGAAGAAGAAAGTGCAGTCGACCGTCCACCTCAACGGAGAGCACTTTTTCACCTCAAATTAGTTGACAAATATCGAAACTGGAAAATCGATACTTTTACCGCTCGATTGTTTTTGAGTAATTGAATCGGAATCGGAGTAAATTTTAATGGTTTGACTGAGACAGACTAAGAAGTTTTACAAACTCAATGGCTTTAATTTTAACTTTTAATAGGCTATTAAATTTTAAAATATAATTTAAACCTTTTAAGTGGTGGACCTCTTATAAAAGAGACCCCTTGAGCTGAATAAATTGATACTAAATAAGTTACTGTTACATTCAATTCGAAATTCAATACTCTTGAGTCGATACTATAATCATATCGACCTCCAGACAAAAAATAAGATTAATGAAGGAATCAGTATTAAAATTTCTAAAAACTGTGAGCAAGTTCATAATTTTGTAATTTTTAATTCATCATAATGCTTTAAAATTAGTCTTATAAAAGAGTTAGAAAAGAGTAAATTACACACCCTCTCAGGAAGGAGAGGAATTTTGGCATTTTTTACAAGAGCTGGGTTGATACTAACAATAATACAAATTAGTTAATAGAAATGGCCTCCATCAGATGATATTTAGTTTTTTTTTATTAAAACGAATTCTGGTCAATGAACATAACCTTAGCAATAAACTTTTCAACTGTTGACATTGAATTTTATTCCCATTACTACCACTGATAAATAGAAACTGAAGAAGAATTTGATCGTAAGGTATTAACAGATTTGTGCATTCTCTTAAAATTGACATGAGGGCTGTCTAGGCGCTACAATTATATATTGTTCTCTCCTAATGACTGTCAAGTCAAAGCAAAGGAGAACGGGAAGGGATGGAGTGGGAGTGAGTGGTATCGATATTGCGATGTACTAAATTATAAAAACAATCGAGCTGTAAAAGTATCGATTTTCCAGTTTCGATATTCGTCAACTAATTTGAGGTAAAAAAGTGCTCAACCCACTCAACAGCTCAGCCAATAAAACAAAGACAATGGTGGTGAGAAATTTTGGTAGGATATACTGTCAATTGTTTGAAAAATACGGAACGATTGGATAGTGAGTGACTCAACACTCAGTTGGTGAGTCGGTGGCTCCGTGTCGTAACACTTCGGCCCAAGTAACACTTCGGCCCAGTAACATTTCGGCCCGAAACCCTCAGATGTGGCCTACGGTCCAACTCTCTACCTGTCCACTAGTAACACTTCGTCCCAACAAAATATTTGACAGGTTAGGTTAGGTTAGGTTAGGTTAGGTTAGGTTAGGTAAGATTCCACCGATTCTCCGTCATGTGAGGTCAGAGGATGCAAGGGGTGACGGTTGGGCGACATTCCACCAGGGTTACCTCCCGCTATCTCCGCGTCCCACCACCTCCGTGTACCGCTACCTCCGAATTTCAGAGTGACACCTATAATCCTCGGTTACTTCCTGCGTTAAGACTTTCCGTCCAAACCTAACCTAACCTAACTTAACCTAACCTTACCTAACCTAACCTAACCCACGGGTTAAATTTTCATTAAATCTTCCATCCACGGGGCTTCGCAGCCGTGGATGCAATGACAGCTAACAACGCAGGCAGTGACGGGATTATAAGGGTCACTCAAGAATTCGGAGGTGGCGGGACAGATTTGGGTTCGGAGATGGCGGAACGCGGAGATAGTGGGAGCACACGTCCACCAGAGGGTGGTTGCAAAGTATACAGGTCATGTACCTCTTACTACCTGAACTGCGTTCCTCAACCCTTGTCAATTTTTCGTCGGGCCGAAATGTTACTCCATTAGCTTATTTAATCATCTGTAAAAGCGAGTGGGACGAAGTGATACTGATTTTCTAAGAAATTTGAGTTTGGCCGAAATGTTACTGGGCCGAAGTGTTACTACATCGGTGGCTCAGTTAGTGTTCGTAGCTTCACGGACTTCGGGCCCAAGTCGGATCTTATGGTCACTGCATGCCACTAAAATTTATCAGTACAGTTCCACCTTCGCACTGTACCGGCTCGCCCCTTGCTTTGCTGGATATACGTTCCACGCACAGATCTGTAGAAACATACTCCCTTAGTAGATTTCTCATCCTTATGGAACAGCTGAAGACAATTTTATTGTTAGTTCATGTACGGTTTATGTAGAGGTCGTGTTTTGTTTACAATTTGTTTCCCGTTATTACAGCCATTTAAAACCTCGTTTAACCAAATAATACGATCTAATCATAAACAATAACTTGTCCCCTAGTTATATAACCAAAAAGTAAAGCACAAATCAAGAAATTACCCTAAAATTATGGAAACAAAGTTTCATCGACACTAGCGCCTTTGTGTCACGTACATGAACTAGACACGAAAAACGTGCTTCAAAATTTACAATGGGATGAGAAGTCTACTTAGTCTATGTGGACGGGCAAGGTTAAAAGAGGTCACCAACCTCTAAAAAAAAAAAAAAAACACAACCATTTCAAAAATAGGGTTCCAAGATATCCTGGGAATATCCTGTACTGCTCTGTGTGGGTTTTAGGCTAAAAATATGCGTCTTATCATAAGACTTTTATGACCCACTGAGCACTGACCCAGCCTACGAAGATGAATTAAAATTGTTCAGACAAAGATCTAAAAGTTTAAACTACTAAAGAGAAATAAATGACAGGTATATTTCATTGGTAAAATCCAAGCGTATATTAGGGGGTCCATAAATACCCTGACTATAAATACAGAAAAAGGGTTTGTTTAGCAGTCTGTTGTCAAATTATATGACAAAAAGGCTTTTGTTGTATACGTTTTGAGGGAGAATAAAAAAATGTGGTATCACCATGAAATATGTATAATATAATTGCTGAAGCTTCTCGCTATTATTTAATCCATGGCCTTGTATCCAGGACTTCCAGTAAAACTATCAACAATTTCTATCAGCTGTCATGCTGTCAAATTGGGTTTTTTTTTGCTTCTGTTCTGCTAGCTTCTGTCAACTGCTGGTACTGGTGGTGGTGGTAGACTGTTTTGTTTTGTCTGTTGTCCGTTGTCTATACTGTATATTTCGGATTGTAGTTTGCTAATTTGTGTTTAGAATTTATGGAATCAGATAGTTCGAAATCTGACAAAATGTTTTCTTTAAAAAAGTGGAATGCTGTTGCTATGTGGAGCTGGGACGTAGAATGTGATACTTGTGCCATTTGTCGTGTTCAAGTGATGGGTGAGTTTTTAGGTTAGTTAGGCCTATGTATAATCTTTGACTCTATCCAATTAGTCAATGGTATAATATAAACTACACTCTTAAAAATTATTTTTAATTATTGTTTTTACTGTCCAGCCTAGACCTCAGACCGCAATTGAAAAAATATGATTTCGAATCAAGTTTTTTTCACAGTAGTGAGATTATATTTAGGCTCAGGTCAGGGGGCTCAGCAGATAACTTAGGCTAACTTAATTTTGGCACCTCCGTCATCAAAGATCTTAAATCAGTCTCATACTAGGTAACTTAAGCCTAGCTGTTGTATTCATCTCATCTCAGGTTTTTATTTATTTATTTATTGCAAACGGCAATACACCAATACAAAATATTACAAATATGATAGCGTTGAAAACAATGTCCAGTTTTACAGTTTGATTTATATACAGAACTAGCTGGCCCGACAGACGTCGTCCTGTCCTAATGTGGTTTTATGTCAAATGCTCGTTCATTTTCAAGATGAGCTCGTTTGCATGGCTCAATCACGTCCTGTTTGAAGTTCGTTCGCTATGCTCAATCACCTTTAGGTTAGAGCTTGTTCGCTGCGCTCACTTGCCTTCAGGTTAGCTCGTTTGCTACCCTAATTCTACATTATTGCGTAGGCCTACATTTGAATTAAATTACTGTTGATTCTTGAAAAATCCACCCCCAGATAGTTCGACACATTCATCAATTCACTGCTGCGATCATCTTAGCATAATTTTAGTTGTTATCAAGCCTATTTACAAGTAGAGTACATTCACTTTCTCTGCTTTTTTTATTTATTTGTCAATCAAACTTATATAGCCTATGTAACTATTTAGCATTTGACCTTACCTTAGGTAATATAGGTTTCAGTTTTTAGGATTAAACTGATAAATTTGAAAGTGTGACAGTCTAAAAGTAGCCTATTTAAAAACAAACCTCTCAAGTTGACTTTTCTTATCCCATAGGTTAAATGTATTATATATTGAAAGCAGCATTGAATAAAACAAACAGGCTAAGTTACTATCAATATAATTTTCTGTTGTGTTTGGAAAACTGTTATTAGTCTTAACTTATGCTTTTGAAGACAAAAACTAACTATGTTGTAGATTTGTAACTTGACGAGAACCTTAGGAACTTTAGGGAGCCATTCTAGTACTGATTTCTAGTAATGAAAGGCACATTTGTCAGTGAAAGGCACAAAAATAGTTTGAAACAAGGGCTAGTACTAGGAGGTACTTATTGGTGTTTACACTTTTCCACTTGAATTGCTAATTACTGTGTAGTCTTAAAATGTACATTTTTCCTACCACAGCATGGAAAAAATCATTGTCACACCTTTAAACGGTAGTACCACAAAGAAGTAAGGTGCAGAGGAAACACGCTTATGGGCGAATGTGCACATCCATCTGGTGTTTTGTGTCGGAAATATACTTATGACGAGCAAGGAAGAGCCTGAAAAACGGGAATTGTGCGGAAATTCCTGTTTTAAAAATTGTCAGCGCACTGAAGCCTGAAATTCCTCAAACCTATAAAGTTGCCATGTCAGTGGATGAGAATTATTATTGAATCAGCATTATGCACCCACATTGCAAGCGGACAATATTAGAAAATGTTAAATACTGAGCTATCCTTGCTCCAATTAATGCTGAAATCTAAATATATAAAAGGCAAAGCCCTCACTGACTCACTGACTGACTCACTCACTCACTCATCACTAATTCTCCCACTTCCCATTAACCTAGGAAGCTGAAATTCGGTACACCGATTATTTGGGCATTAAATAAGAAAACTAAGTAGTTTTTATTCTGATCGGGCTTTCGGGCTCCGCCCCAGTGGCTCTGGAGTTTCCCATGTTAATCTTATGAATTTTCATATTTAAAAGGAATTAAAGAATCTTAACAGCTGTTTCAATTAAACATGTTGGTTCTGTTCTATGATTTTCAATAGCATTAAAGTTACAAGGATTACCAACAGGGTGCAGCATTATTATTTTTTATTTATGACAACACCTAATTTGCAACCAAAAGGTGAGTGAGCGTAGCGAACGAACTTCAACCTAGAGGCGAGTTAGCGTAGCGAACGAGCTAATCTGAAGGCAAGTGAGCGCAGCGAACGAGCTCCAACCTAAAGGTGAGTGAGCGTAGCGAACAAACTTCAACCAGGACGTGATTGAGCCATGCGTCACTTATGAAGTTAAACGGGGCAAAGCCCGCGGGTACAGCTAGTTGGAAAGATAAACAACAAAATTATCCAAATGCTACCGGGCCATGAGAAGGCTTGCAAAAGTTTTGAGTCAATAATTATTAACTTATTTAATAAATGTTTTTCTTCCAGTACTACCTTCAATAGTTTCTATAGAAATAAATCAATGGACGGCACAAAAATTCAAAGGAGATTACCTTTTCAATTACCTACCATTCGTCTCTTTGCATCAAAATGACATCTCGATCTTTTAAAAATTTGTTTTTAGGACAAATCAAGTGAAACAGGATGTTACAGAGAAACCCCTTATTGTATTAAAGGTACTTTCACTAACATGTTCACTACAACTCACACCAAGCCCGAGGTCCCGTGTTCAAATCCTGCCAATCACTAATGGGTATGCCTCGACCTTCTAGAACTAGCCTGAAGTGATGTGTAAAACAGTTATGGGCTAATTCAATAGCACTATTTAGGTTTTAATCAACAGTTTGTAAAGATTTCTATTGGTGGATTTAAGGATTAGCTTGAGTTCTCAATGTGACTTTCTCCGTTGTGAACTACACAATAACAAGCAAAATTAATTAATTTTAAACTATTGTACTTGTTGCTCGAATTCGAGCAATTGCGAAGTATTACAGGCGTTATTTTAAAAAGAATAACAGTCATAATTCCCGATGACTTTAAAAGAGTCAACTGAAAGATTATGGAAATACTCACGATGTACATTACAGTTCGATGTAATCAACATATCGTGTAAATATCTAATAATTTTTCAAAAGCTGATCTTGTTTTTTGGTGTTTTCTACAAATGTTTCCCACTCATAGCCTTCATTTTTCTTTTTAGTATATCAAATTGTCAAGGCTTTCTCGCTTTTTACCATTGTAATATTTACGCCAACTCGGGAATAAATTTAAATTCAAATAGTAAATATTTCAATTCAACCAAGTCAGTAAAATGTTTGTAGCACACGTTTCCTTAAATTGCAAATAAAATATTTAACAGCAATTAAATTATCCAGCTCTGATCATAATGTAAACAAATAGGCCTATGTTTTTCATAAGGATAACATGGGAACTTTGCAGAGCCCAAGTGACTTTTAAAAAAAAATTATGGCCAGTTTGAAAAATCTATACAACTAGACACACGTTTTGGTATATAATTTGAAGGGTAAAATCTTAAAACAAAAAAAGCCTTGTTTACAAAGTTTCACGTATAACAATATAGATTTCATAAGCATGTAAACATGATGGTATAGGCAACATTTGGTCAGAGACTGTATATGACCAACCTAAGTAGAATCATGTAAGTACCTAGCTTAATTTCGGCCGTGCCTAATTCCTTTGCTTTGAAGTTGTTTTTAATTTTTTGGGTGACAAATAAAATGGATTCCTTGTTTAAAAATGATCACAATACTTTATTTAGTAGGTATAAATACAATTCGTCTATCTATATCCCTAAGATAAAATAAAAAATAAGTTAACACAATGTAATTCTCATTTTATATCCCATTTTGCAAACTTATGTTGAAAAAGTCCATACAAAAGGTTGACCAAGAGTTTCAAATTGCACACGTTACTAATTTTAAAATCAAAACATGATATGGGTAATGAATTTATTTACTAGTAATATAACTAGTTCAGGTCAATAAGAAAGTAGTTTTGATTTATACTTGAATATAAGTTTTAGAAAGCTAAAACTAGTTCTGTTATTAACAAACGTTTTAAGGATAGAAACGGCTTTGGACTTAAATTCAACATAAATTTGCAACTGCAGTATCAAAATATAAACAGTCTCTAATGTATCTATAATATCAGGAAAGGCACTTATTACACTACAATAATTTAGTAGATGTCTATAATGGCTAAGTTATGAAGTAATTCTCACTAAAACTAGTTAATATTTTGATATTAAATGCTGAATCCATATCAAAATCAGTCCGCCGCAAGTCAACCTTGGCTCACAGATCAGTGCTGACGACTAACGAAGCAACAAAAATAATTTATAACAATAATAACATTATTAACAACAATATGTACAATAGCGAATCATTAACTGGTAACACTAAACCCTGACTTTATAATAAACATCACTGGACAACCAAAACGTTGTCATTATTCTCACTCGGCGCCCTTCGGTTCTAACCAAAGCTTAACCTTCCTAGCAGAACAGCCTTAAGACTAAAGATTCAAATTCTCAGATCTTTCTTGAGGAACGGAATGTCAGTATGATTTTGGAATGTCATAAGAACGAATTTTAAATATAAGTACACGCATAACTTCTACAGTTAATTGTCTTAATCAGATTCAAATTCAATATGAATCAAGAAAGATTGAAATAAATTTCAACAACTCAGCTCCACCGAGTGATGGAAGACTACCTTTGTGCTCTACACAATCAATCTCAATCCTATATACATCTCAATCCTCAAAATTATCTTTGTACAGGATGACTGGCAACAACGTAACAGCAATATCGCTATATCGCGACGTACTTATATCGCTATGGGAGTTGGCTTCAGGTTAGCGATGGAGCTCATTCTTCTGGCCGTTCTGACTGGAATCTTGGGACCTTCACCGATCAGATTCCTCTCGATGTCTTCCAGGCTCTTGCCTTGTGTTTCGGGAACGCAGTAGAACACGAAGAAAAGACTTATGAAGCAGCAAGCGCCGTACATGAGGAACGGCATGCTGTAGCCCCATTGGCTGCCAAAGTCTTTGAAGGTCTTGGTGATGAAGAATGTGGTGAACCAGTTAAAACTGGTGGCAATGGAAGCAGCTGATCCTCTGATTCTGGCTGTAAAAAAAGAAAAGGATTGTTAGAACATTGCCTTAAGTTTACTAAAATTTACCATTTAATCTGATCGTTTTGATATTCAGACTAGAAGAACATTTTTAAATGCTTGCAGAAGGAATAGATCAAATCAGAACCAGCAGAAATAACTAGCCAATAATTTACTATTTACTTTTTTTCATCTACAGGGGTGCTTTATATTATATTATCTTAATTGCTACAAAGTAGGAACCTCGCTTTTAGTTCAGCCCAACAATTCCATCAAGGCTAAAAACTTTTCATCAAATCTTTTGTTTGTGTAATGTGTATGATTTCAAGCAGAAAATGAACAATGAGTGTCCATTACTGTATTTTAAACTTCACTTGGTTTGCGCAACACAAATTCTACACAATCTAACTTTCAGAATTCAGAACTTATCCTTATAGTTAGCTGCTAACTTAGAGTTAGTGCAAAAAATCTCACAACACACTTACCAGGCAGAATTTCTCCCATCATGAGCCAAGGAATGGGGCCAAATCCGATGGAGAATCCGATAATGTATACGATGAAGCTGACAAGAGGAATCCACCCCAGATGGTCCATGTCCACACTCGTGTACTCTCTGAAGTAGAAGTAGATTCCGAGGGAAGTGATGGTGACTGTCATAAGGCTGCCGGACAGGTAGAGAAGGATCTTGCGACCAAGACGATCAATCAGAGCAGAGCTGACAAAGACTGTAACGAGGTTCACTAGAGCAATGATGATGGTGCAGAGGTTGTTGTCAATGGAGCTCTTACTTGCCTGCAAATTTACAGAGATGTTAAGACTACTGGGATTTATAAATGAGGAGCATTCATTTTTTTGAAATGAAAATTGGATACCGTACCTTAAAAATATACTGAGTCACCACTCTCGCCATAAGCTGAAAGTTGTGCTTTTTTAGTAGGTAGCTTTATTTGAAAGGACTTGAAAGGATGTAAATTGATTTTTGAAATAGGAAATGAGTTAGCCATTTGAGGGATTTCAATTGAGATGGAACTAATCGTACATCTCTGGAAAAATTACGCCATTTTTAGAACAAGAAAAAGTGTATTCAGTTACAGTAGTTGGAAGAGCATAGGGTCTGGGCTTAAGTAGCAAACAATGATCATGAAAGAAATAAGATTATTGTAGTTCAAAGACACGTGAATGAAAAACTGAATGGACTTAAAATGAAACATTATAATGCTTTAACTAATTTAAAAAACTTTTATGCCCAAAAATTTAAGCAAAAGTGCAGTGGAGGACTGGCATGTTGCTTGGAGCCATCTCAAGTTTGAAATAATGATTTCCGATAATTGTTTGTATATAGATTATTATCTAGCCAGGTTCTGAAAATATGTGCTGTAGTTGAGACTTAAACAGTTGATGTATTGGTAATTATGTTATTAAAAGAAGTAGTAAAATTTTTAATTTCCTACCTTAAAGATGTCCACAGTGTAGAACATGACAGCGTTGATTCCACTCATCTGTTGGAACAGCATAAGTCCCATGGAAATGACCAGAGGCTTTGCGTAACGGCGGGAAAACAGCTCTCCTAGACCAGGGTTTGAATCTTCCAGCTGGGACTCCTGTCAATTGAAATACAAGTTTGAATGTTGAATAAACCAATGTGAGATGCCATTGTAGCAGATTCATTGCAGATAAAGAATTATTGATGTTCTAACCTTCCTTAAGATTTACTTGTAGTTATATTTTCTACTATTGAGGCGTTTTGAAACATTTTTGTAAAATACAGATCAAATTTTGATCAACCAAGGCTTGGCAAAACAACCAAGGCTTTATATTTTGACAGTGGCTAGGCTTGAAACCTATTGTCTGATATGTAGAAGATTGTTTTAAAATCTAATAATCATGACTGTTAGATCCTACAGGTATATTTGAGTTCTCTAAGACAGATATTGTTTACATTCAGTAAATTATCAGGTTGTCAGAATAAGTACAGGTTCATCCCGTCAGTTCTAGACACCGTGTAAATATTGATACTTAGTCAACCCTTTTGCTTGATAATCTTTTATGTACAAACCTTTAAAATACATCTGCCCAGTCTTCCACTTCCATACATACCAAATGCACTCTACAACCTTTAAATAAGATTGGATATTCCAGAATCATGCTTCGAACCAAATTTTAAATTTAAACAACAGTATTTATCAATCTTACATGGTGGTTTTTCTCAATCTCGCTGAACTCCTGGCTAACGTCGGTGTATCTGCCTCTCAGCCACTGCAGGGCCTTACGAGCTCGCTTCTTCTTCTCCTTGCCGATGTACCAACGAGGAGTCTCGGGGATGAGGAACATACAGATGATGAAGGGGATGGGGATGGCAGCTCCGACTAGAGCTAGGTTTGACCAGTTGAGGTACTTGCCGGAGAAGAAACATACGAGGATACCTGGAACAGGATGTAGGCTGTAGATTTATATACATAATTTAGATTCCTCAGAGAGCTACTAAGAGTCAAGAAATAAAATAATGTAAATTGTATGTACCTCTACTGAAGTAAATTTGAAGCTGTTACGGTAAAATAATGTTGCAAAGAATTCAAAATTAGCAGAGTTAGAGCTGAGGACTAGTTATTGTAACTCAGCCAAAATATTTTACAATATTCTAGTAAACCATTCCAAATTTCCTTTCTACAGTAAAAATTGTGTAAATTTAAGGTGATCCTAAACAGATAGTTTATTCTAAATATTTAAGCCACAAATTACATTTTGTATATAAGATATACTTAATTAGAAATGGTATTTTTTAGATATTTTTATAAACCATCTTATCTGGTACTAATCTCCAAGTCTACAAAATCTATCATCTGAAGTAAACTGCAATGAAAAAACAACTTTTTCTTAGCCAAATGTTTAAGACCTCTTAAGTAGAGAATATTTGAGAACTAAGACCATTTATTTTTACACATAGTTTATTTTATAGAATGTTAAATTTGACTGAGTCTTGTAAATTATTTTGCTTTTGGAAGTTTAATGGATAACTCACCTAGATTACCAACAGATGTTGGCAGCAGTCCTAGAATGCCTCTGACTTCTGACTGGATTGTCTCCCCAAGGTAGACAGGTAGAGCCAGGGTGATGATACCAGTACAGAACCCAGCAATACATCTTCCCGCATACACCATGCCGATGTTCATGGCAAAGGCGATCAGCATGAACGCTGCAGAAAAAAACAGTGGTGTAAAAACTGTTTGATCTTTGACAGGAGGAGCATCAAAGTTTGATTTGAAATAGAAGTAGGGAAATCTACAATCACAAAGATCGGCTCAAGTTTCATAAGCATTTCTGAATTGTGTCCAAGGTCTTGTTTAGCTAAAATCTAGAAAAGCTCAATAACATTGTTGGAGAAAGTAGAGCAATAGTATTGCATACTTACAAAGTAGGAAAGGAAATGCTGTCAGAAGAATAGTGGTTTTGCGACCTATCCTGTCGATTGCTGGACCTCCTATCATACCTCCAAAGATGGCAAAGAGTGGCAGTAAACTACCGATCCAGGACTCCTGTAAAATGAAAAAATATTGTTGAAAAAGATGAAGTAATTCAGAATCAATAACGTAATTTATGGTCATAGGTTTGGTTAGAATCCTGAATACGTACTAATAATCAATTTTAAAGAAAAAGGATAGTTAACTTGTTCAACTTGTTTGGGTACAAATGTTTCCAATTGGGAATCACTGTTTGTGCAAAAGGTAGTGGAAACTTCCCAGACGCACCAAGTTGCTGTGGCGTCATTGCATTGAGACAGTCCAAATTGTTTATCAAGTGAGGCGTCTGTCGATCTGGTGGATTGAATTGACTCGTATCAGAGGTCTGTCTTTGATTGGTCAATTATAGGAGGCTCGATCCTCAATTGATCTGTAATGCCAAACACTCTTTGACTGACGTCAATCAATGATACGTGGCGTTGGACAGTGTAACATTGTGTTAGTTGAAAGGTCATTGAGATTTAATCTGATAAACATGCCTTAATGTGTTTGTGTTAGACACTTTAAAGTTACTTTTTTATTTGATACATATTATGTTGAGTTGAGCCTCTTTGAATGAACTGAAATGAAATTTTAGCATCTTGAATGATGTCGAGGAACTTGAACCGCTCCAGGTTTAATTGGATGATCTTGAAAACTTACATGGTTCTCCGTAATGTGACCTAGTGCCCCAGGTTGATCTTTCATGGAAGGAATGGCAGGTGAAGTGTAGGAACTGACGAATCCCACGATCATGGAACCCAGGGACACAGAGATTGCTGCCAGCACCTGTAATGAAACAGTTTGTCAGCATTTGACAGTTTGGTGATGGAATGTCAATCACAATACAACATTGTGCTTTCGGCCTTTGGATATTGATAGAAATAGTAGATGTCCCACTCACAAGTTAAATCTGAAGCCAGTTTTTTTAGTAAAAATTGAAAGTATACATTTAAAGAGTGTGCTCTTGTCAACCACTGAACTTTTTAGCCACGTTAAACTTTAAGGACTTATTGTTAACTGTAGCATCTAAACTGTCACGTAAACTATCACAGTTTTAGAAACTAAAAGAGGAAATTGTATGGTGGCATAATGTGAGTGGCTTATTCATCAATGTTTATTTCCTTGACAAATATTTTACAGTTGGTCCAATATGGGATATTAATTGTGTATCCAAAAGTGATTTGCGGGACTTAATTTTATTACAGTATAGAAAGAACAATTGACTTGATTTAATTTGCAGTTTATTTAACTTTTCCCCAATGTTGATTTGCTGATCTGACAATCAAACGTTACAAAAGACTGTGTTTGCCCAGATGTTCTGAATGTAGCAATGTTGTGTGTGATGAGTTAGGTTTTGTTGACAGTAGTGATATAAGTCAGAGGCAGTTGTGTACCTAGTAATATGTTGAAGGTTATTAATAATTTCACTCTTAACATTTCCAATGTCAAAAAAATCCATCCAATAGTACAGCACAATAATTTACCAATTTTTTTTGGTTTTGCAGTTTCAACTGTTTTGGGAAATCACACTGCAGAAAATATTATTTTTGTCAAAATCAAGGGAAAATATGTTCTATTTATTATTTTTGTTTCTATAGATTAAATATTCTTTGTTGCAATCAAGCAAAACGTTTAATTGGTATATATGTATATAATATTTTGGTATGGTATTTAAATAATATTTAGCCTCTGGATCATGTTTATACAAGTGTAAAAGGGATATTAAAAATCGATAATAATCACCAGACAGTTGTATTTAACATAAACAAACTCTTGTAAATATTAACATTATTTCAATGCTGTGGATGATTTTTTATCAGCACGAATAGAAAAAAAATATATATATATATATTCAAGTCGGGACTCAACGTATTGTCGCAAATTCTAAAACATAATGATTACACATCTTCTAATACAAAACTTTACCTGACCTTCTAAATGAAAAAAACGCACGTTTACCCTTCAGTTGCAGACAAAACAAGCCATTCACAACCCCTTGATCTACCGGCGTCTTTGATTAGCAAAATCTAAACGTACAAAACGTCGGTTCCTACGTGTTGACGGAAGTACTGAACACGAAGGTGAAGTCGTGAGCCGACTGTCGTGTTCAAGTGTTCATTCAAGTTGCGTAGCTTGTGTTCATTGATACGCTAACTGTTCAGGGTTAATGTGTCTGAATATCTGCGACAAATCGCCTTATCTTTATAGTGTTTGCGAGATCGCGCGTTTCGGTTGATTTTGTCATGTAATTAGTGTTGATTTGGTTAGTTATAAGTTAAAATTGAATATGTATAGACACTGTTGTAGTGTTCGCCTTCAATTGTCGATGGTTCTACTGCAAGCCAGATAGTTTCTGGATCCAGATGTTATTTTGTCTGGGAATTAAATTCATACTATGCAACAGCTTTTATACCTTTCCCTTATAATAAACGTAAAAAATTTCAAATGCATATGTTAAAATGTTAAGTAATTTTTTTATCTGAATTAATAAAAAATAAATCCAACTGCGGATTGTAACTAAAACGTGTCGCATCACTTTAAAGAATACCTAAAATATAAAATACTAGACAATAAACGATCATAAAGATTGTAACTGGCGTATGTAATAGTGTGTAAAATAAAATTATACAACAATAACACGACGATAACTATAAAAATTAGATTATCCGAAATCATAGATGGATGCATTTTTTTACTTAGTAAATAGCCTCAACCATTGTAGTTATATTGCTCGTAACATAATGTTAACATGCTTTTCATTTAAATCCTTTGAGGGATTTAGGCTAAAATTCGAATCAATATACAGTTTAAATCGGTGTGTTTTGGTAACTTAACAAACATTGCTCTACAAATGTTCAATGTCACTAGTCAAATACGTCGAGATTTGTAAATAAGTGGATTAGTGGATAGGTTTGTAGACTTTGACGTACATAGGTTTCATGGCTTTAGAAAAAAAAATGTACAAATTGAATTTTAGCTTGTTAAATTCATGTAACTAATTAGTTTACTTATAATGCCAATGAAGAAATATTATGTTAAACTCTTTTCAACGCACTAAAAATTAAAATTATCTTGCGTAAAAATGTCTTCAATTTCTAGATATTTCCCCTCTCAAAAAAAAACGCACATCTTTTTTTAAATACAATTTAGTACAGTAGTTTGCTCTGCTACATTTACTAAGCATATTGCCCCATTTCATAACTTAACTTTGAGAATATGCAATATAAAACTATATTTATGTACTGTATTAAGATCTAACGGGTTCACTTCTTATATTTTGTCTTAATATTTGGCCGAGTGTGTAAAATTCAGATAGTTGTACATTATGTATCCTCATAACGTTTACCTACTTATATTGCATTATTTCACGGTGAATAATTGACACTTTATTTTTTTTATTTATACCAAGTCAAGCACAATAACACTCCCCAATGCCCTCACAAATTTATCTAGTACCTATAAAGTCACAGCTGAAATACAGAGAAGCTACCAAATATATTAACATGTAACCGAATATGGACCTGACAGATGACATAAAAGAAGACTTCAACAATTATATCCTTTTCAAAACTATGAAATGGAAACTAAATCGAACCGATTTGGCAACTCCGCCGAAAACCGACAACATCGCAGATACAATCCCGGGAACCCCACGCCCCGGTCCTTTTACACCCCTATTGTAAGTCTAACTAAAAAAAGGTAACTTATTATCCTACTCTGTTTAAATATAATATACCTACAAGAAGGTTTACCCTATTCTAAAAATATCACACCCACTATGTTATGTAGTGCAAACTACATAATACGTAGCAATATAAGTGATACGTATATGAGATGTACCATGTACAATTATCAGCGTGTTTATGGCTAGCTCCGGTATTTGCTGCCTAGGTCAAACACGTGGTAGATGTAGCTCCGGACGCTAACCTCTCTTTTCAACCCCCAACGAGCGGCAAGGTTCATTTGTGCAACACAATTTGAACACACAATTCTTATTTTGCGAATTTGTTATTTTATCATTATATTTTATACCTTACCAAAAATGCATTGCTCGTGAGTAATTTGAGAGTTGAATTTATCAAACGAATTAGTATTGATGAGCAATGATTATAACAAAAATTTGCTTTTAAATACGCACTGTAGTAGTTAATTAAATTGAGCCAGTTTTACTATTTGAATAGTTTATCGCATTTCATGCTGTTATATATTACACCTCTAGGTAGGTGCTATTTTGAAAAATAAAAACATAATTCATAATGTTTTTTCTAAATAGCTAGTTCTACTGATTTACAGTTAATTTGAGCCGTCTTTGATTAATTCAGTTCCAGGCTACAACTTGATTTATCTTATATTATTTTCAAACATAATTTATAAACATTTTTTTAAAAAGCTTTTTTTACTCTTTTATTTTGAACAGGTATTATTTATTTCACATATAATTGTTGCAGGAAAATCCTAATCATTATTCTAGTTTGAAACAGCGAGCAACTTAAAACAACCAAAATAACCATTACATACGATTTTTCTAATTATTTGAGAAAATGTCACCTGAGAAAAAGTGAAGTTTGGTTTGACGGATGTGTCGTCGAACACAGTGACCTGTATGTTGGAGTGGGTATCAGCTCGCATCAGCACCTTCATGATGACTATCAGCAACTATCAGCTATCAGTATCAGTCGCGAACACCAGTATAGCACTATAGCTGCACGACAACGCTGCCGACTATATAGCAGGGGACACTACCCCCCTCCCTCCTCCTAGCGCCTTACGTTTACACCCCACGCCGCGAAGCGCCACCCACCGAAAGTCGTCAATGATTTAAGTGGTTATTGTGACGGCATGAACCCGAAAGTATGCACTGAATGCTCAGTTTTTCGTTAGATATTTTATTTGTAAACAAAAACGGAAAACCATTGTGTACAACGTTATTTGAGTTTTAAATTAGAATGTAGTTATTGTGATGGGATGGGTTTTTCAGTAATAGGATATGATAATAGAAATTAATAATTTTGTGTATTATGTATAGACACCAGCATTTTTAACCTAAAACGAACTATATTTAACCTATTTTATGAAACATTAATAAATAAATCAAATACTGTACAACGATTTCGTATATTATGTACCTAATTAGTTTTTTTGTGATTAAGCTTAAAAACCATCACTACTATAGAAAACAAAAAATAAATTTGTATTATTATGCAGTTAGTTTTTGGTCATGTTTGTGCTTTCGTGAAAAATACATTTATCAGGGAAATTGATAAAATGGATTTTTAATTCGTAGGCAATTCGTGTTTTGTTTACTGGTTAACCTATGTTTAAATGGTATAGTTAAATAAATATATATAAACCTAGGTAGTAAAATAGTAAAACTATATGATTTATAACTAAAGTATGATTGATTTGGATTAAATTGTCATACACAGAATGAGATTACAGGAAATTGCGGTCATTTCACAATAATTTTGTAAATTTTAGAATGAATTTGTTTTAAATTTTAACACTTTCGTTTTGAATTTTTCTCATGTAAACGATAGGGATTTAATTTTATTTATGGAAATAAGGTGATTATTTACAGTTTTACTACACAAGCAAATTATGTACACCGTTTAATTCTCTGAAAGAGAATAATATTTTGTGAAATCCTGATTCTAAACAACTGTTTAATTCAGTAAAATGTTTGCATTTTTGTTTTAAAACAAAAACATTAATATGTTAAATATCTCTCTGAATCCACGCACAAAATATATTCAAGCTTAATTACTTTTTGATTGTTATTCCAAGAACAATGTCGAGATGCTAACTATTGTCGAGTCATCGAAGGTAACATTTTGACCTCGGGGTTGGGTAGACGCGCCAACGCGCGGCCTTTTTGGTAAAACTCCCGCCCTTTTTACAGCCCGATGTGCAAAGAATTCGAATTCAAACTTGCCGCGTCAGATTGTGAAGATTGCAATATGTAAGATGCGAAATGAGATTGTTGTGTTAATGTCACTGTGTCTTAATGTCTAAAATAATTTTCGTATTTATAAGATGGTTCTCTCGTGGATGTTGTATTAATAGTCATTACTAAGTTATCGACCAAGTTACATCAGCCTGTCAGATTAATGTACTGATGTAAGTTCCGGCGCTACCGTATAATTCTTGGAAAAGAAAAATAGTTGATTTTATTTATTGATGTACAAATATCACCGGTTTGCTACCCCTATACGATATTTTAGTTTTTATTACTTTTTTCTGTTAATTAATTAAATTACTACTTGCCCCTTCATTTATAAACTCATACGTTACTCAAAATTATTTGAAATGTGAAATTTTTTAATTGGTCCGCACACCTAAATAATAACTTAAATAGGCATATTTGATAATTTAATCATAGGTGTAAAATGATAAAATGTGTTACTTTATATTTGAAATTCGTGATATTTGGTTCATAATTGAAATACGAGCACTTAATTTATAGCTTAATACAATGTTTTTACAAGATTTCAAAATTATTTAGTTAAATATATGTTTATAATTTGAAACCTAGCTGCAAGTATCAATTTAAAAGTGTAATAATATTTATCTTCGTTTGAATTTAAAATTAATAAAAATATTTGTTTTATTTAATGATTTTAAAACTTTTTTATTGAAAAAAGAACCCTACAACCTGTACACTTACAGATATTATAGAATGTTATCATTGAATTTGAATCGTGATGGCGTATTTGAGTTATTTCCAAGTATCATACTATCACTTAAAATACAAAATTTAACCTAATCATAATTTAATGTAATATTTCTTGCCTGCGAATTGTAAGTGCATGTTTCGCTGATGGGCTGAATGACAGATCGCACTAGGGTTATCTTCATGTCTTGTGTATGTTGCCTGTCACCACCGTGTGCCTATGTAGCCCCGCAGTCCCTGTCTGTGTCTACAGCACCCTGAGTAGCTGTGTTATACCAGTCAATACTCAAAGAACCGTTATCGAGCTGTTATCAGCCTATTTAGCCGGTTATCAGTAATATTAGCCGGGCACATGGCGACAAATGATCCAGTATTTTTGCCAATGAATACCGCCCTTTGTTTGTGGTCAGAATGGTTTTTGCGCGGTGATGCTGTGTGTGGAATATTTCTAGGTGCTTAAAACCGTAGGCTTGTGTTGGAACTAGATGGATTTCCTGATTTTTTTTTCATTTTTTTGAGACGCAACATACTGTTGTTGATCTTACAGTTGTTAAAATATTGATAAGGGTTGGTTAGGTTAAAAAGTATCTCCGAAAAAAGACAATTCTTCGTCCATTCCTGTTAGGAATCAATAATATACTGGTTTAGCAAACAAAATTATTCTGTTTAATCCTGATCTAACCACTGCCAATAACAAAACAAAAATCTTCAGAAAGTTGGGCCCCGGTTCAGCGTGTTTTAGGGTCTTTAGACATTCCATTATGATCTGTTGAATTCATTATCCCTCTATTTTCAATCAACATATTTCTACACTGCGTTAGTGATTTAATCACTGTCCCTACGTGAATGCAATTATCTGATCCATTTTTATCTTGACTTTGAACAGTCATTACTTCCACAGCGAATTCCGTTTAGTTAGGTTTGAACGCAAGGGGGTTTCCTTACTGTCATTTCTGCAGCACAAACAGGGTAGGTCTTACTATTCACAGACTACCGTTTGTCCTGCTTTGATTAGTCCAATCCTGATTAATCACTGTCTACAACCAAAGACAACGGTTCCTACTTGAGGCATGTTCACTTTACAGCTCAATTTACAAACGGTGGCCATCCAGAGACTAGCGTGTAACCCCTTTGATCAGTTTGACGTGATCACTAACTACACAACATATATTTGTTCCTACCTGAGGCACGTAGGTGTGACCCTCTTGATCGTCGACGTTGATCACAGTTTGACTCGCCGGCTCCTCAGGCTTGTCGTCTACAAAGTTGACCATCTCCTCGGCCTTCGCCCCGACTTTTTCGGTGATCTCGGGCACCTGGGGACGGGCTAGCAGGAGGTTCAACTCCTTCTGTTGTCCTGGGTCCATCCTGGGCTTGGCGCGGGTAAAGTACCTGTGAACCAGAGAGAAATGTTACATTGTGTCAGAGTGTAGTGGTCGTGAGGATGCAGGCGGTTTTCAAAGTCATTTCGGATGTTTTTTATGATAGGATATTATAATGTTGCGTGAAATATTTCTGTCGTTTGTCTGAACTTAAAACTTTACTTTGAGGATGAGTTATAGACATTCAATTCACAAAAGCTGTTGCCAGATTTAGGAATTGATCTTAGTTTAACTAAGCCACCAATAGAGCCTGATAAATTACTGATTTCAGTCGAAAGTACCTACTTTTAAACCAAGTCGAAAAAGCCGCCTCATTGCAAAATAAAGTCTCTTTTATTTACGATTTATATTTACATAAAGTAAGTCAAAGAATCTAGAAAAGAGATAAATTAGAATTTAGACATTAGGACTTTGTGTTTGGCTCTACAAACTCTGCTCTAATTGAATACTAATTGGCTTCAGCTGATTATTGAGGATGGCTTGCTTCAGTATCCAAATGACATTGGCCATAGTTATTTCCGTATGTTCGTCGGAGGGTTGAACCTCTCCTTGGACCTACCCTTGTCTCCTCTTCTGCTTGATCAAGGCGGTGGTGGATCCTCCGCTGGTAGCGACGCTCGCTGCTGAGGACGTCGCCGAGGAGACGATGGAAGGCCGAGGACGGTGATGGGACGAGAAGAGGCGTCCTCCGCCGCGCTCGATGATCTGAAGCTCGTCCTCTGACAAATAGTCCGAGGAGGCTGTCTGCAACAAAATAAACCATTGCACTTTGCGATATTTTTGATAGGCGGAAGGTTTGGGATGACTTGTGATGAATTTTGATGCTTGTGTAATTGGGGTAGGGAAGTGTGCGAGTCGGATGTTGCAGCGTGGAATGGGTATCTTCAAGTGTTGTGCGATTATTATCGATATTAATACGTAAAAAATATCAAAGTGTTGCGTCTTGGAACCGTTGACCCATCGGGGAATGTTTCAACGTATGTCAGGCGTTAACTTTTTTAAGTGTCTCTACAGTAAGATAATTTTCGTCACTCATGTAGGCCTACACTTGGATATATTTTAGTCATGTGATTTAAACTGACGTCTTTTGTAAAGGTGTGTAATTGTTTGCACCTGTGTAATCATAAATAGCAAAATCACGTGAGTCTTCGAGATTTAGTACAATGTTAAAAAAGTTTAAAAAATTGCAAACACTCAAATCAAAAATTGGAAATTTAACGTTTGAAATAAATCGAAAATTGGGACTTTTGATTCGCCTAGTAAACGTTCAAAATACATAAACAAGATATAGATACATTAAAACAGTAAAACGCTCTAAGTACATTTGTCGCTACTGTATTTCCTCCCAAAGCGTTTGGGTTTACTAAAATAAATGGGACGGTACATCAAAGTGCTAAGTAACCAAGATTAGTGTTATCCGGTTAAGGTTAGCCGAGGTTACATTGAACATGGTTACAACATGTCATTGGTTACTCACAGCATCCGTACGGCTCCGGTATCACTATCAGTGCTATCAGTGTCCAGTGTGATTACCCTTGGACCAAACTTTGCGGGCTTCCACCCAACCTAACCTACGCAATACACCCTTTCAGCCGTCAGAGGCGTGGGCAATACATGGAGGGTTGGAGTTGTGCAAATAGTAATTTACCGAGAGGTTACACTAAGAGATTGTCACAAAGATTCCATACGCATTTTTACACACAATTGCACAAGTGCGTGGATCACTACAGTTTAACACTTTTGCATGAGCTGTATCTTTGTCGAACCACTCTCGAGTTCCCATAATGTTAACAAAATTAACACATAAAAAACTTGATCATTATCTATGAGAGGTTAGTTGTTGCATAATGACAAATTCCAATTGGGTTGGAATAGAAAGATAACATTTATTCTTCTTTTCCAACTTTTTGTCAATATTTAATGTTTAGTTTAGGTTTTATTACAGGTACGTACGGTATGTTAATATGACGTAACATTCAACTACACTTGTCGATAAAGCTAAAATATTTGCAATGTAATGACGCAATCTCCTTGGTTTTATGACTTATTCAAAGTCTTTACCTTTCGATTTTGATTATTTAGGAAGTACATATAGTTTCCAAAAGTTATCACAAAATCATTCATGTTCCGCTAAGTTTGTGCCACGGAATATTTACAATGGAAAACCTAGCCGGAGTTATATAACAGTTCGAGAACACTAAATGTTAATTTTGGCAGGCATTTGTTGATCGAAAGTTCTCAAGGACTTTTCGTTTACGTTTGATTAATTCTGATCACATCCGCTTCTAGAACTTATGAAGACGTTAGCATAATACGCGTAAGTAACCCTGGGAGTATATAACCATTGTTGTGAATTACAGTTACATCTATTGTTAACTACTCAAGTATTTTACGAATGTAATTCATGACTGAAATATTTACCAGTACACACAATTTAGTTGATTGTCAAACAAAATTTTTAATTTTAAGTATTTCGAATTAATGTAGATCGATGAAAATATTTGAAAACCGTATATGGTAAACGTAGACAGATGTTGAATTTATAAAGCTAACGCACGAAAATAAAATTGTTATCCATAACATTTTAGGCATAAAAACTTATGTAGCAGATAATTTCTACGGATATTGGTAGGTTTAGGCTAAAGCAGATTGGAATCCGCATCGTATGCAATCCTTTGGTTTATTTGCACCTCACTTCACACATCATTAATTCGAATAATTGTTTCATTACTAAGTTCGATTGTAGTGTTTATCGTTATTCCACGTTAATTTGAATTGGATGCTGAACGTTACAGTATAAAACCTTAATAATCCATAATCTGTTTAACGCTTTAGTAATTTTGAAATAAAATGTCATCCCTGGTTTAATAAGAATCGAATTACGCCACACAACATGGTGCATGCTAGATCAATAATTAGTCACAGTGATTACACTAAACGATTTTCAATTTGTTTGATTTGCAAATGTTTACTCTTAGTATGGTGAATAATAACAATTCACTTTCCCCAACTCACCTAAAACATAAGACGTGTTTAAACCGTTCCTAGACACCAACACTACAACTTTCTTAAATTACTTTTTTGTCGCCAAAGCTTCCTGTAGACACCACGCCTGAAAAACTCGCTTAAACATCGTGACAGGGCAGTTTGCTATACTAGACACCTCACCAAGATTACTAGACACCAAGCCCAGATTATGGTTATGTTAGGTATCTGAGCGTGGTGTCTAGTAATCTTGACAATGGCGTATAGTAATCTGGGAGTGGTGTCTAGTAATCTAGGCGAGATGTCTAGAATAGTAAACTGCCCTGTCATTGTGTTTAAGCGAATTTTTCAGGGTTGGTGTCTAGTAATCTAGGCGTGGTGTCCACAGGAAGTCTCGGCGACAAAAAGTCAATTGAAAAAGTTGTAGTGTTGAAGTCTAGTTTAAAAACGTCTTATTGGACGTTTTAGATTAGTTGGGGAATGTAAATAATAACCAAGTCGACAGTTCCAAACCAACTAAAACTAATTGCAAAATAACACATTTTAAAACACATATTTTTACACAATAATAACCCTATAGGACTTACAATAGTAAATATTTTCCGTAGTAGTTGCATTGTAGTCACGTGTAGAAACCAGGACCAGGAACCAGGAGCCGGTAGTCAATGACAGTCCTGAGGGAAGGAAGGGGATGATTGGGTGGTGGGAGGGGAGGAAAGTAGGGGTGATTTCCAGAACCTTCCATACCATTCAGTACCGTCCTATCCTGGGGGTGGAATGGTGGGTGCGTCAGACCGCTTGCACCCCATAACCTAACCCACGATTCACGTATAACAGCTATAAAGTCGATATAGGACGAACGCTATTTCGTATTTAAATAGATTTTGTCTACAATTTTGAGTTGAATTGCATTTATAGTAGGTTAGAAAGTATTTTGGCAACCGTAAAATCAGTCTCGTTGTCTGATTGTAATTTTCGTTAGGTAGTATAGAAAACATCTAATTTTTTCACCGTTTATGCTAAGCTAATTTACAATGTAGAAGCTAATATTGTTTGGTATTAAAATAATATCTAGCCTTCTACAAACGTTTTGTCTTTTTACAACAGTGTTTAATCGTGTAAAAGATAGTCCCAGTTTGTGTTAATAACTGTAGAGTGTTACACTAAAGATGCAATATTTAACATCTACACATTCATAGTATGTACTGTGTAATATGTTCTCGTGTTATTTTTGCACACATAATTGACTCACAGGTCTTGAAAGATCTGGGTGAAAATAATAACGAAATATATTTCAGCGAGATTCATTTAAAAGTTTGTACAGTCATTTTTATTTTCCCACCAACCATTACTTTGAAGTCCTTTTCACACGAAAGGTTGTGCATTTGCCAAACTAATGACCGATTTCGATCCTTTCAACCTTCTCAAAAACCATAAAGCAACTCGTTTCACGTGCCTTAAATGTTTTGAACGTAATACATTTATTTTCAATAATAAATTTATATGTTTGCCAAAAGTCAACAAACAATCAAAGTAAGTATGAACAAGGTCTATTCTAGATTTCTCTTTTCCCTCTATTTTTTACCAAAGATAGAACTGGATCATTATAAATCAATCATTTAATGTATCATTTTAAAATTAAAGCTAGCTATAGAGTAAACGTGAACGTGATTGAATCAAAACAGCTGATCTCAACAACTTGTCGAGATCAGCTGTTTTGTCTCCACCTGTTCACAGCTGATTCGCCTCATCTAACCTCGACTCTACGGAAGCTCCAGGATACTCAGTACAGTACTGGGATGTCCAACACGTCAAGGTTTAGGCCTACGTGCGGCCTTAGGCCTCGAACCCGTCCAAGTTACGACTTTGCTCTGATTTGCGAAAGATTTATTTTGATTAATGGATCGGCATGTTCACCGATAGTGTAGTATATTACACGCCAACGTGTGAGACAAAGGCCTATCCGTGGGTATGCTAGATAACTCATCTAGGCGTGGACCTAATTATGTCTGTCATTGAATTTTGGATGCTAAAAGTAGACATCCGATCTACATGGACCAGCAATGGTGGATTTGTTCCATAAAAATTGCATTGTATGAACAACATTAAGAGTGTGCTATCTAAAATTTAATTCTCTCTTTAGTTTTTGTTGGTGGTGTGGCAAAAAATATGCTATAGTTGACAACGAATTGTCCTTTCTGTTCGGTTTGATTAAATAGTTGGTTAAATTTCTAGCACTACGTCGAATTTTGTTCTAAATACTAGCATAATAATTTTAACATGGGTATGGATTGCTGGGTCTCATCACACTCCAGAGTCAAAGATTTCAAGTTGACGGGTTCAACTAGGGGTTTTAGGGGTTGAGGGTTCAATTTTAGGTTTGCATATGTAAATTTATTTTTAGCTCTTGATTATATATTGTGCGAACCGCAATGCAGTAATAGAAAATTTCACTAAATTAAATAGAATTTAGTTATAAACTAGTTCAGTAGGTAAATTACTTGAGTAGACCAACACAATACAGTAATAGTAAAGTAAATTTACTAGTTACTATTAGCGCATAATCTAATCTTTTCATTTTATCGTGTTTTTTATGGCGATGTTTTTGTTTCTGTATGTCGAAAATCGCAGATTTTACAGTACAGTAATTGTTTGAACCTAACCATACGGCTATATTTTGTGATTAAAAATTGGGCGTTGTTCGACCCAGCACTAAATTAATAATTATATTAACTGTTGTGATTTTTTTTTATAAGTGG